GAACCAACCGGGGCACCTGGCAAGATCTCATCTCTATAATAATAATTTTTTTTAAAAGCTGTGTGTGCTGGCACACACCTGTAGTTCTAGCTACTTGGAAGGTTGCAGAAGAAGGAACTCCTGACCAAGCAGGTCGGGGCTGCAGTAACCATGCACATGCTGCTACACTTCATCCTGGGTGACAGAGTAAGATACTAACTCCAAAAGAAAAAAAAAAAGACTGGGTGTGGTGACTCATGCCTATAATCCCAGCACATTGAGAGGCTGACGTGAGAGGATAGCCTAGGCCCATTTGTTTGAGACCAGCCTGAACATCTTGGTGAAACCTCAACTCTACAATAAATTGAAAAAAAGTAGCCAGGCATGGAGCATGTGCCTGTAGTTTCAGTTACTTGGAAGGCAGCGACAGAATCACCTGAGCCCAGCAGAATCACCTATCTAATGTCAGGGAGAGATTGAACCCTTCTGTGTCTCACACTTAAGAATGTTAAGGTCACAGATTAGTAAAACTCTATCGTGTGTGTGGCATTTATCAGTTTATGAATTCTTCACTATCATCCTAAGCCTAATCCTTTCCTTTTCAAGATTACCTATCTGTTAAAATAAATTAATCTGGAGAAAATAAAAAATCTAATCAGGATTAAGTGGGTGGAGATTCAGAAATCTAATCAGATATCACTTTCTGATTGGAAAACACCAGTTAAAAAGAGCTGGCATGTTAGGAAGTTCAACAAAGGCATCTGAAGAGCAGCTGGGGAGACCCAGAAGTTTGGAGCCTGGAGTCACTCCCTGGTTTCTGTGAGGTGTGATCCCCTGTCAACCACATCAACCTGGTAAGTCCTGGCCCACCATAAAGACTCAACATTATGATCAGTCATCAGCCAGATGTCCAAATGGAAAAGCCAGGATTTTCCCTTTTCTGTCTTTTTTTTAATGAAAATGTAAGTTTTGATTTTGCCTGTAAGTACAGTGCTGCTGTCCTCTTAAACATTTCAGTTTTAGCTTGGTTTATGTCATTTTAAAATTGCTTCACAAGTTAGATTTCTTAGCAAAATTAAAAATAATTGTCTGGAATTTTATTTGTTGACTTTTATGCATATATTTTGTGTGCTTTAGAAATATGGTTACTTGACTTTGTGGTTGTGCAGTACAATCTTGTCTCACTCTGTCGCCCAGACTGGAGTGCAGTGGTCGCTCCCGGCCACCGCAGCCTCGACCTGCTGGGCTCCAGCAATCCTTCCGCCTCAGCCTTCCGAGTAGCCGGAATTACAGGCATGCGTTACCACGCCTGGCTGATTTTTTTATTTACTGTAGAGATGAGGTCTCGCTGCCCAAGTGGGTCTCGAACCCTCAGGCTCAGGCAATCCACTCACCTCAGCCTCCCAAAGGCGTGGGATTACAGGTTGAGCCACTGAGCCCGACAGTATAATCTTTTATTTTATGAAAACCTTAAAAATATTCTATATGATATTCTATACAATATTTTTAAGAGTGGAGTCTTGTTCTAATTTTGGGTTCTACTCCTTCCTCTAGCCATATTTCTTTCTTTCTTTTTTTTTTTTTTGAGTTGGAGTCTTACTCTGTCACACAGACTGGAGTGCAGTGGCCGCTCCTGGCCGACCGCAGCCTCAACCTGCTGGGCTCTGGTGATCCTTCCTCCTCAGCCTTCCGAGTAGCCGGAATTACAGGTATGCGCTACCATGCCCAGCTGATTTTTTTATTTATTGTAGAGATGAGGTCTTGCTGCCCAGGCGGGTCTCAAACCCGTGGGCTCAGGCAATCCACTCACCTCGGCCTCCCAAAGTACTGGGATTACAGGCTGAGCCACCGAGCCTGGCCTCTAGCCACATTTCTAAGCGTTCAATTCTAAAAGTATAAGGCATGTGCACTGGGATCTACATCTGAGTTAATGTTTCCCATCTCTACCTTTCCTGTGCTCAATAATACTTAACATGACTTTTACATTTCCTCATTTCATTTTTTAAAATGAAAAGAAATTAAAACCTATCATAGGAATGTCCCCTTAATTATTCCCAGTCAGGTTAGGAACTGAGAATGTGGGTTGTGTTGGGCCACATGACACACCCATGTGCATTCCCTAGGGACTTAAGCAGTAACCAGCAATATCCCCAAGTAAGGTAGAGTGATAGATTGTAGTTTCTTCTGACCCACTTCCGAGTTTGAATGGAATCTAGTAGAGCACTCGGTGGAAGTGAGTGGGCTAGTGGCCACCTCTTTGTACCTCTTTGGCACTTGTGGAAAGATTTTCCTGGTAGCAGCAGGGGCAGAAGTATGTCTTTGTGATCACTGTGTGTGCAATGGAATTGGGGTAAGCCGAAGACTGTTCCACTTTGCCAGAGCAGTGGCTTTGTGCCTAGGAAAAGATGGGATTGTGTAGGCGTGGCCTGATCAGAATGCCTTTTCTCTGATTGAATCACCAGATCCTTTCATTGCAGAATCATGATGAGCCTCCAGACCCCACCCAGGCTCCTGGAGCTGGCGGGAAAGAGCCTGCTGGGGAAAGAGGCTATGACCATCTATACTCTGGAAGAGCTGCCCATAGAGCTCTTTCCACCCCTGTTCATGGAGGCCTTTACCAGGAGATGCAGTGAGACACTGAAGGCAATGGTGCAGGCCTGGCCCTTTCCCAGGCTTCCTCTGGGCTCCCTGATGAAGACGCCTCAATTGGAGATCTTAAAAGCTGTGCTGGATGGACTTGATGGACTGCTTTTCCAGTTCGTTCACCCCAGGTAAGGTGATACAGGTGTCCTGCTAGGAAGTGCCAAGGAGTTCTGGGAAGGGACAGCTGGGTCAGTTAGAATAGGTATCATAGGATAGACCAGAGACTTCTGATGGTGCCAGTGAGGAAGTCCAGAGAGGCCTTGACCTGCTGAGCATCTTCTTGGAAAGAGTTCCCTGACAGTAGGGCTGCTTACCATGCAGGCACCACTGAGGGAACAGAAACCTCATTCCTCCCATTGAAACTTAAAGGTATAGGAAGTGGAGACCAGACTTTGTAAAAAATGAAAGAGGATGGGGGAAAGTCAGGGAGAGAGAGAGGACATGGGAATGAAAACAGCTAATGTCTACGGTGTGGAGTATAAGTTTAGGTCAGAGGGGGTTTCAGGCTAAAATGCTAAGAATCTCTTTTTTTTAACCCCAAAGAGGAGGTGGAAACTGCAAGTGCTGGATTTACGGAATGTTGATCAGAACTTCTGGAGTGTATGGTCTGGAGCCACTGTGTCCTCCCCAGAGGCCATGAGTAGGAGGAAACCAGTGGAAGACTGTCCAGGGAGCAGAAGGCAGCAGCCATTGAAGGTGTTTGTAGACTTTCATCTCAATGAAAGAAGCATGGATGAATTCTTTACCTGCCTCTTTCAGTGGGCCAAACTGAGAAATGGTTTATTACACATATGCTGTAAGAACCTGAAAATCTTTGAAACGTCCATCAAAAATATCAGAAAGGCCCTAAAACTAGTTGATCTGGATTGTATCCAGGAGGTAGAAGTGAATTGCACCTGGACACTGTCCACCCTGGCAGGGTTTGCTCTTTACCTGGGCCAGATGCATGATCTCTACAAATTGGTCCTCTCCCACATCTATGTTTCTCCCTACATTTCCCCAGAAAAGGAGGAGCTTGTCGCCCAATTCACCTCTCAATTCCTCAAGTTGGAACACCTCCAGGAGCTCTACATGGACTCTGTCTCTTTTCTTGAAGGCCACCTGGACCAGTTGCTCAGGTGAGGAAGGATGGGGTGCTGTCTCTGCAGTCCAGAGCAAAGCCTTCCTTTGTTACAGTAAACAGTGGAAGACATCTGTGTGCCAGCCAGTAGCAATGTCACAGTGTAGAAGATTCTAGAATATCAACACACTGTGGTGTTCGCTGTTCTACCTTGACGTGGATATCACTTAACCACCCCAATATAGGCAGAGGTATAAAATAGGATAGATGCATTAGAGAGTGACACAATGCTAGGGTGGTATCTATTGGGAGGTTCAAGTCAAAGGTGGGCACATTTGTGAATTGTTACTGCAGTTAAGTGGAAAACATAGATAATCTGCATCTGCAAGCTTCAAAGTATAATTCTGTTCTCACAAGCTTAGTGAGCATGAGTTAGCCTGACTCTAATTCCTGTCAGTGAAAGATTGTTTTGAACTGCGGGTAAGGTAATTAACATGGAAAATGAAAGACTCTGGTATAGAGGGTGGCAAAGTAGGCATGAATAATAGTAAAACTGATGGATGGTTTGCTGATGGTTCAGGCATGTAAGTGGGCCTTGCAGGCTGGCAACCCAAAATAATGTTGCTGGATCCTGCTTGGGTCTGTCCTGTATACATGTCTCCACCAGGCTCCTATGACACAGGATACTGGTTGTATATATGTATGTATTTATTGAGTCGGAGTCACACTCTCTCATCCAGGTGGAAGTGCGGAGGTGCACTCATGACCACTGCAAACTTTTCTTTCTGGGTTCAGGCAATGCTTCTCTCTCAGCCTTCCAAGTAGCTTGAACCAGAAGGCAGGTGCCACCACATGTTACTAATTTTTTTAATATTTTTTTTTTAGTTATAGGTACAAGATCTTGCCAAGTTACCCAGCCTAGTCTTGAACCACAGGAATCAGGCAATCCTCTGACCTGCACCTCCTAGAATGCTAGGATTGTAGATGTGAGCCACCATACTCGGCAACTAGTAGTATTTACAGATGAAGAAAGTGAGGTTTAGAGATTTTTATGGACTTGACCTAGTCACATGAGTGATAGTGAAAGGATTGAGTCTCTTTTTTGTTGTTGGTGGTGGAGTCTTGCTGTGTTGCCCAGGTTGGAGTGCAATGCATGCTCATGACCACTGCAGCCTTGCTCTGCTGGGCTCAGACGATCCTTCCCCCTCAGCCTTAAAGTAGCTGGAAATACAGGCACGTGCCACCACACCTGGCTTATTTTTTGATTTATTGTAGAGACAAGGCCTCACCAAATTGGCCAGGTTGGTCTCGAACCCGTGAACTCAGGCAATCCTCTCACCTCGGCCTCCTAAAGTGTTCGGATTACAGGTGTGAGCCACCGTGCCTGGCTGACTCAGCCTCCTATGAGGCTGAATTGAGTAAACAGCGTTGTGTTTCCAGCATCATGGGTATTGACCATCACATGGTCAGAACAACCTCGAGTTTGGGGAAAATTGTCATCTTCCACTTGGTCATTTCCTTCCACTCCTCATTACCATTCCTAGGACTGACTATTTGTGTCTCCTCAGGTGCCTGAAGGACCCCTTGGAGACCCTGGCAATAACTAACTGCCTGCTGTCCAGATCAGACCTGAGGCATCTGTCCCAGTGCCCGAGCATCAGTCAGCTGAAGGTCCTGGAACTCACTGGTGTCAGACTGACCCACTTCAGTCCCAAGTCTTTCCACATTCTGATAGAGAAGATAGCTGCCACTGTCCAGACCCTGGACTTAGATGAATGTGGTATCTTGGACTCCCAACTCAATGCCATCCTGCCTGCCCTGAGCCATTGCTCTCAGCTCACCACCTTCAGCTTTCGTGAAAATGCCATCTCCATGGCCGCCCTGGAGAACCTGCTTCACCAAACTGTCAGGATGAGCACTCTAAGCCTAGAGCTGTACGATGTCCCTCTAGAGACAAGTGCAGCCTGGGTGCGCTCCACCACAGGAGTTTCGCCCAGCTCTAGGATGAGCTGATGGAGACACTGAGGGACTTAGGAATTCCCAAGAGGGTCTTGTTCCGTACAGTACCCTCCTCTCACTGTGGCATCAGTTCATTCTTTTACGTGGAGCCCTGTCAGTGCTGCTATGGGATGCCTGACTAGTTGGGTGAATATCTCAAAGCATTCTTCAGGGCACTAGGAAACTGTCCAGGGTATAGGTAACGTGAGCATAAGACCCATTCTTTCAGATGCTTGCTCAGTGCGAATGCAAAACAGAAAGTGATACAGCAGGGGGCAGGCCCAGAGGGAAATGCTGACCTTGACAGCAAATGGGAGCTTTGGGGACATGTGTCCTGTAGAGTTGGAAATAGGAATCTGAATTTCTAGAGTGGGATTTGAACTTGAGAAGTACATGAGGAATTTCCGCTTCATAGATCACTATAAGGAAATGGTCATTAATAAAAAGAACCTCAGTGTAAATTTTCTGTTGTTCTCCATGATCTTTTAACCTGTTTGAACAACTTACACTTTGGGATTTGCCAACTACTGATGAGAAAAGAAGCGCTGAGCTGTTTGATGAATGAAGTTTGTCTCTAGGAAGACGAGATGTCACAATGACATTCGACCATTTGGATCAATTTTCTTCCATTCCTTTCTTCCATCTGGGCATTGGTTATCTTGCTGTTTTCTGCAGCTGATCATTGTGTTCATACACACCTTGTGCACACACAGGGCCTGGAGCATTCTAAGTGAGTAAGGGTGAGCCACTGGAGTAAAGCCCTCTCAAGGTCTCTCAGTGACAACCAGATGCTGAGACTCTTCCCTGCTATTAAGTGGATCCAGAAGAACCAGTTCCTGGCCACTACCTGTGCTGGTAAGGCTTCACTGCACAGGGTGTGGCTCCACATCCTGCAAGGGGACATCCACACTGTAAGGGGGTAACCCCCAAACCCATTATTTATGAAACATTGTATATTATTCTTGCATGTTTAAACTTTGGGCACTTTCATAATACTTCCTATTTGGTGCAGTACACCTATCACTTTTTCTCCTGGTCCAAAGTTTTTGAACTCATCAGTTTGGATGCCCTTTAGTGCTCCTGCCATTTTTTTCTTTCACCTCTTCCACTTCAGGAAAACATTTTCCTTTGACAACTTTGCTCATCTAAGGAAACAAACAAAAGTTATGGTGGGTGAGATTAGGTGAATGGACAGGGTGAGGTATGGAGTTCATTCTGATTTTGATCAAAAACTGCTGAACACTCAGTATAATGTTGGTAGATGTGTTATCATGGTGGAAGAGCCAGTCATCTGTTTGCCACACTCAGGATGTTTCTTCTGTAAAATGTTACACAACCGCCTCAAAAATTCCACATAAAAACTTTGGTTGACTACCTGATCCAGAGGAACAAATTCTGAGTGTACTACAAGGAGGCAACCTCCAATAAAAGATAATTCCAGGTTTTTTGGGTCCACCTTGTATATTGCCTGCAATCTCACAGCATCACTTACCCATGCCTGTCAACTTTGTGTGTAGCTGCCCTTTCTGAATGAAGTTAGTCATGGCTACTCAAGATATCCAAATCCCCTTGTAGCAATATACTAAAATGATAAGGCATGCAACTCGTTTTAAATGTTTCTATATGACATCAACAAACTTACCTTTGGGGAGGAGCTAGCTCATGGTGATGAGATATCTCAACATCGCCCTTCTCCAATCAAGGAGGCTAGTGTGTCATATTTTGAAATTGCATATTACATGGGTGAAGTAGTTCACACCTGTAATCCCAGCAGTTTGTGTGGTGGAGGAAAGAGGATTTCCAGAGCCCAGGGGTTTGAGACCAACCTGGGTAACTTGGCAAGACTTTGTCTCTACAATAAATCAAAATAGCCGGGCATGGTAGTGCACACCTGTAGTTCCAGTTACTTGGAAGGCTAAAGCAGAAGGATCACCTGAGCCCAGCAGGTCGAGGCTGCAGTGACTGTGAGCATGCCATTGCACTCCAACCAGGACATAGAGTGAGATAAGTACTCAAAAAAGAAAGAAAGAAAGAAAGAAATTGTGTGTACCATGTGAGGGTGATAATGATGATGTGCCTGTGGGTGTGAGTGACTTTCCCTTGAAGAGTGATTCTAAGCAAAGGACAGCCAGTGAATGATGCTGCTATGGATTGAGGGCCTGGTGTCGGGCAAGGACCTGTGACAAGACCCTTATTTTCCCTGTAGAATGAGGACGAAGGTACCCAGTACCCATCAGTTCCTGGGAGCTTTGTAAGATCTCATGAGATGATGCACATGTAGTACTTGGCACGGGGCATGGCATACAGGGATAGTTCAATAAAAGTATATTTTCCTTCTATTTCCCTTTTGGCAGAAGCCCCCTGCATTTTCATCCTTCAATCTGAGAATGAAAAATAAAATTCTCCAACCAACTGAATATACTCCCTCTTGGCCAAGAGAACCCCACAGAAACCTTACAAACTGAGAAACCAGCATGGCAAGATGATAGCTTGAATAGGCTTCATTTTGCCGTCTCCCATTTGTGGCTTTTACACAATCAGTAATCAGCATTAATGTTAACATAGAGATCATAAGACACAGAATAGACTATTTGTGATAATGAGGTACCAAATTATAATAAATAGGACCTAAGGTCATGCCAGGTCACTGTTAAGTCACAGACACTTGTACTTAAAGAATGAACTATGAAATTCATGATTTTGTTCTTTTTTATGGCTGCGTAGTATTCCATCGTGTATATGTACCACATTTTTTTAATCCAGTCCTCTTTTGATGGGCAGCATGGTTGCTCCCAGGTTCTTGCTATTGTGAACAATGCTGCGATGAACATATGCGTGCAGGTATCTTTTTGATAGAGTGATTTGAGTTCTTCAGGATATATTCCCAGTAGGGAGATTGCGGGGTCATATGGGAGTCTATAATACTGAGTGACCTGTCACAGAAACAAAGATCCATGTATCACATGTTCTCACTCATATAATGGACCTTGAACATCCAATGTAATACTATAAGAAAATGACTGACAGTAGTGGGAAACTATGGGGTGGGGGAGGGAGATGGGATTAACGGTAGCAAATATCTGTCTGGGGACCGGGAAACACCTCTTATCAACAGGGTGCCTGAATGAAACATATTTGTATACCTAACCCTTAACTGTACCCCACAACATCATAATAAAAAATATTGATTAAAAAAAAAAGAATGAACTACATTCTAATTTCCATAAGGATTTTCCTTTCCTCTAGAAAGCAAACAAGAAACAAGCACTGACCTCAAGATAAGCGATATTCAAAGAATTGCAGGTCATCCACCCCAGAGACTAACTGACTCCCTAGTTCTATCAGCCATAACTACAGCTTTGATTGGACAACAGGTTGATTTCAGTAATTTTGATGCAGATTTTTCAGGTCAGTCTGGGCTTCGATATGTCAGCTCAATGGGTCAGCCAGTCAAGCCCCAGAGAAGGTCATCAAGGGGCTGGTAAGCCTAGCCCAGGAAGTGTCAGCCCTAATGGGAGCAAGCCAAGCACTGAGAGTGTTGTTGGTTTGGTGGGCTGGCAAGCCTAGCCCCTGAGGTGTCTCAGCATTGGAGTTTCACCTTCTGGCAGCTCTCCTGGTTCATTCAGCTCCAATGATCTTTTGCAGCTTTTCAGGTTGCAGCTCTTTAGGGTCAAGGTTCTTGTCTCATGCCAAGGAAGAATGAGGGACATGGACAGTCAGAAAGTGAGAAAGCAGGATTTATTGAGAGGACAGAGAAGATCCCACAGTGGGAGGGGAAGTGAAGGAAGTTGCTCATCTGGGGCCGAAAACCTGGTGCTTAAATAGCTCTAAGTCCACGCGGATTGCCTAGCACTAGCTGTGAGCTGTAGCTGTTCTGGTTGGTCATTGTTAATGTAACGACCTAATGGTGAGCTGATTGGTTGCTTTTTTATCTCAGCAGTGAGTATCTAAGCTCCAGTATCTGGCTATCATGAAAAAATGTAGCCATGAGCATTACATACAAGTCTTTCCTAATTTGGGCACATCATTTCATTTCTCTTAGCAAGAAACTTAGGAGTGGGCTTGCTAGGTTGAACAAGTTAATGACTAACTTTGTTCCTTTTTTGAAGTGATCCTTTTGCAGACATTTACAAATTTTATTTAAAACAGGCTCGGTGGCTCAGCCTGAAATCCCGCACCTTTGGGAGGCTTAGGTGAGTGGATTGCCTGAGCCCGTGGGTTCGAGACCCGCCTGGGCAGCGAGACCTCATCTCGACAATAAATCAAAAAATCAGCCGGGCATGGTAGCGCATGCCTGTAATTCCGGCTACTTGGAAGGCTAAGGCAGAAGGATCACCAGAGCCCAGCAGGTCGAGGCTGCGGTGGCCAGGAACAGCCACTGCACTCCAGTCTGGGTGACAGAGTGAGATTCCAACTCAAAAAAAAAAAATTATTTAAATGATTAGCTTTAAAGAAGCAAGATTTCCCTGAGAATCAGTGATGCTGAACATCATTCACTTGTGTGCTTCTTTGACATTTGTACATATTCTGTTGTGAAGTGTCTGCTTGAGTCTTCTGCCCTGTTCTTTCAGTCTTTTTATCAAGTTGTAAAAATTCCTAAAATGTAAATCCTAGATACAGGCAGTTGCTAGTTGATTGTATTGTGGATACCTTCTCCCAGGCTGTCCCTGTCTTTTTACTTCCTTAATGATTATCTCAAAATATCATAAAGTGAGCATATTAATGAAGTCTAATTTATTAATTTTATCTTTAATCGTGTGTTTGTATAGTAGTTGAAAAATCAATTCCAAGGTTGCAAGTAGTTTATCCTAAGTTTTCTAAAAGCAGTTTTCTAGTTTTATTTTTTCAGTATGGATATGAGATGTATTTTTATACAACACTTTACTTTTTATGTAAGGTGTGAGATATGTTTTGATATTTATTTTGTTTTCATGTGGGTATACAATTGTTCCAGCATTATTTGGTGAATAGACTTTTCCTTCCCCATTGAATCACTGTGGCACGTTTTCCAAACC